GTGTGTGTATACCAGAGGTGTTCCTTGTGTTATGTGCCTTCCCCTGTTGAGGTCTAGTTTTTATTGCTTTCGGCTTGTCAGTAGGTGGGCTTGACTCCCAAGCTGACTAGCCGTGAGGATTAGCTGTGTCCAAAGTTTATAAGCTGTTGTGTGGGGGTTGACCCCTCTTATGAGGCTTGGCCCCAAGGGGCTGTTGTGCCTGTAGCAATTTCCCTTTGCGTGTGAATCTTGTAGGTCAGACCCTGTAATGCTCTGGTTTTATCTAAAGTTGGTCTCTGGGTATGGTGATTCTTGTGCTTCTTTGGCTGGGCCCCGCTGCAGAGTGTGTTTTAGGGCAAAACAGATCGACAAGCACAACCACAACAGCCACTAAAGGTAACCAGATACTCTCTGATGTACAAAACAACCATCACCCTACATTCCACATGTATAGAGATAGCAATCAAACACAAGGAGAAAACAAACCAACAGAAACAAAATGACAATGAGAAAAGAAAAGAAAAAAAAGGGAACAAATAGCAGAACAAGATAAAATAAAATATAATAAAATAAAAATATAATGAATGTGAGAAACAAAATAGCAACACCTTTAAAACAACAACAGCAACAGAAAAAATTAACTTGCAGAGAAAATGGAAAGGAGGAGGCAAATCAAGCTGTGACAAGGAAGCAGGAAAGAAGGGAGAGAGAGAGGTTAGAAGAGAAGGAAAGACAAAAATGAAGAGGAAAAAAAAAATATATATATATATCTACACCCCCATATATATGGACATATATATCCACATATATGCACCTTTATATATGCCTATATAAAAAACTAAAATTACTAATGAAATAGAAAAATCCAAAAACAACCAACACAATTGTTCAGTGAAAGAAAAAAAAAACATCCAAGAGAACCCAATTAACAATAACAATATAACACACCAAAAGAGAAATCCAAACCGAAAACAATCAAAAAAATTTGAGAAAAAAAAACAAGAAATAACCAGTGCCAATCTTGGCTGAAGTCCGCCAAGCTCTCCCCAGGTTTTCCTCTGCTATACACACACTCCTGTGAGTCTTGTGGGGGCAGAGCCAGGCACCTGGCATCTAGATTGAATTTGGTAATGCAGGTCTATTTTAGATGAGTGGAGTTATGAGGTGTGATTGGTAGTTTTTTTACAAAGTCAGTGTTATTTCTGCTCCTGCCTGTCCAGAGGCACTCTGATTTCTGCGCAGCCAGAGGACTGGATGTGCGTCTTCAGGTGCTCTTTCCACTGGGGCTGTTGGAGGGGTGGGGGGTGGAGATTTCAGAGCTGCTGGTAGACCTTCCTGTGTCTCAGCAGCCAAAGTTGTTCTGCTTCCCAAGCTGCCCAGGAGAGGTGGGAGTGGGACAGCCATTTAGTAGTTCCCTCCTGCAGCCTCTTCTCATGTAAATCACTCAACCCCCAGGGAGTCAAAGCACCTTTGTTCTGACTTACTCCTCTCTTCAGGAGTTAGCCTCAGGCTCTGGCAGGGATGGGGCCAAGGTTTCTGAGGGAGAGTGGGGGTGTGCACTTATCTATGCAGTTTATTTTTCCTGTGTTTAAGTACTCTGCATGGGAGTCCCTTCGCTGCTCATCGTGCTTGGTAGAGGTTTGTTTGCTGCGCTCCAGCGGCTCAAATTGCTGTGCTTTCCAGGGGAGAACTCAGGGAGCCCTCCTCACTGCTGCAATTTTTTATCCTCTCCTCGAACCCAATTTATGTTAATAAACATAGTCCCATGGAAATGATTAGGGAAATATTCCAGTATAAATACAAAACCCTCACAAAAAAATTAATAAAATATATTATTAAGACTAGCTGTTTTGACATCTCTCATGGTGGGAAACAAGTGCCATCTACAAGCAAAAAGGGTTTACCAATGGATATAAAGTTACAGATTTAAAGATAGCCACTAAAGGAACAATTATAAATATACTGTTAAATATTATAATTAGAAAGGATGCATAATCAGAACAATGTAAATAAAACAACATAGGTCATCAAATCCAGGTTCCAGAAGTAGCAACAGCTGATAATACCAATATTTCTGCCCCAGCCTGTTCTACGGTCAATATTTTGGCTGTGTTTCTAAGTGTGGACCTTCCCCCTTTCTGAGCTTGATCATGAAGTCTTCCCAGAAATATCTGATAGGATTTTAAGAAGCCTTCTTATTACTTAAATTCACCAGAGTTTATTTCTGCTGCTTTTGATGAATAATATCACATTCAGAAACTGGTACCCAGAGTGATGGCACCCTTTATGGACCCTCAGGGAAATATGAAATTTGGTTATCTACGCTGTTTGGGGCTGAAGGCAAGGGAAATCCAGTTGGCACTAAAAAAGAGGGCTTGGGCATTCCTTGAAATGCTGTGCAGATTGCTTTAACGACCATGTGTGCTTACCTTGGATGAACATTGAAAAAAACGATTTGGGTAGTTAAGTATCCACCCCCAACCCAAGAGTACAAAGGACATGAGGTACTGTTTCCTCATGGGGGTGGCTAATTCCAATGGGGCTGGTGGCAAAAAGAGAAAAATTGGCAAGTTCAAATTCCTAAATTCTCTGCTCAAGTCACAGGCTGAAACCTAGGCATTCTGTAAAAAGAAATTATCTTGTGCATCCATTGAATCCCTGGCTTAAATTCCCAGGTCATTTTAAATTTAGGATACTGATTGCAAAAGAGGGAGTGGGGAGCTGAGAGTTAGAATGGTAATATGTGGGAGAATATGAGTACTTTAAAAATTTTAATTCCCACAGAGCTTCCTTAAGAGACTCTGTCTAATTAAAGACCTTACAGTAACCTGAACTGAAAGTGCTACATTTTTTTAAATCGGGGGACTTGGGGGTGGGGCACAGTGTTGGGGAATTGGGGAGGGGACCAGCCAAGTTGTTGTTCTTTAACCTTAGTTGTGGAGGGAGTAGCCACCATCCCATGAGGGAGTCGAACCAGCAGCCTTGTTGTTAAGAGTGTGCGCTCTATTCACTGAGCCATCCGGGCGGCAGCTGAGCTCAAGGTGCTGAGTTCAGTCTTAGTTGTGGGCGGGCGTAGCCCACCACTGAACAGGCAATCTTGTTGTTAGGAGCACGTGCTCTCACCAGCTGAGCCATCCTGCTACCTGTTGTCAGCTCAGCAGCAGGTTAGCTTGGGAGCAGTGTCACTGGCCCATGTGGGAATCAAATCGGTGGCCCTATTACTCAGAGCTTGTGCTCTTAAGCTAACACTTAACCAACTGAGCCACTCAGCCGGCCTGAGATTGCTACTTTTTAAGGGAAGCTAATTTTCATGACCCCAATATCCACCCTTCTATCTCCAGACTGATAACTGTCTTCTGTACCAAGCACTTTATGTGCTTCATAAACATTAATTCATTTAATTCTCCCAACAATCCCATGAGATAGTTACTATCATTATCATCCTCATTTTACAAATGAGGTACTGAGGCATGGAGATAGCAAGTGCCTCCCCCAAGGCAACATAGCTAGTAAGTGGTAGAGATGGTATTTGAACCCAAGAGAACATGTGCTCTTAATCACTATACTATCCTCCACACCCCTCACCAACCTTAGTGATCTGGTGTCCCCTGATTACAGCTTTGAATATATGGAGGAAGTGACTAAATGGAGTGCGTCCAGGCATTGTAAAAATGAAGAGTGTCAGGCATCAGAGGTCTCTTGCATTGTTTATAGGTATCATCCTTTATTAAATCCACAAAAAGGAAAATACAATTTCTCTCTGGGAATCTGTCATGAAGTCATTATTTTTGCATCAGGTTTTGCATGCATATTACACCCCTTGAGCCATTCAGATAAATCGTGGCCATAACAATGCCGGGTCCAAGAATCCCTGGGAAATAGAGGGAGGGAGGATGAAGTAGACAGGCTGATGAGGTAGCAGTGCCACTATCCTGGCAGCCCAGGGTCCAAGCCATCCCCATGAACTTACCAGGCATTCATACCATTCCGTGAGGACACCACCTGCTTGACACACATGATGTCATCCAGAATATGGCGGTTGAGAAGGTCTGTGGGGAAAAGAGGGACAGAGTGATCTGGTGTATTGGGGACAGGGTGCCAGTGTATGGAGGGCACAGGGGTTCTGGGTTCCTTGGGGGCATGAATAGCATCAACAACTACATTAGCTGATTCTGGATGACCTTGATTTATTTCTCAGCTGGTTACCTCAACTGCCAGGTTGGTTAGTTCTGTATAACCTTACTCATGTTGACTGACCCTAGATGACCTTGACTGTCATGTTGGCTGGTTATGAATAACCTCAACCACCATATTGGCTGGTCCTAGACAACCTTAAACTCCATGTTGGCCAGTTCTGGATGACTTTAACTGTCATTTTATCTGGTTATGAATGATCTCAACTGCAATGGTGGCTGGTCTTACATCACCTCAACCACCACGTTGGCTAGTTGGGAAGCTATTCAACTAAAAGGTTGGTTAATCCTCGTGACTTTGAACACTGTTATCATGTCCTAGATAATCTCAATTCAAATTTTGACTGGTTATGATATGAATGACCTCATTATCCATGTTGGTTAGTCCTGTTCAACCTCAGCCACCATGGTCCCTGGTCCTAGATGATCTCAACTATCATGGTGGCTGGACCAGGATGGGCTTAACTGTCATTCTGACTAGTTAATGATCTCAAACCCCATGTTGACCTTTCCTGAACAACCTCAATTGTCAATTTCCATTTTGACTGGTTATAAATAATTTCAAACTCCATGTTGACTGATCCTCAACTTTCATTTTAGATAATTCTGGACTACCTCAATTTCCATGTTGGCTCAAAGTGAACAACCTTAACTTTCATTTTTTGTATACTTTCATTTTTATAAATAGTATTGAAAAACCTTAACATTCATGTTACCCTGTCATCGACAACCTCAACCTCTATCTTGGCTACTCCTGGACAACCTCAACCTTCAAGTGGGCCAACCCTGGGTGACCTCTCTGTCACTGTGTCAGGACTTGGACAACCTCAAAGACCATTTTGGCCAACCTTGAACAACTTCTACTGCTATTCAATTTTGTCCTGAACAACACCACACTTTTCTGGAAAGTTCTCTCTTTTCTGCACAGAGGTACATTGTTTCTGTTCTTACAGCCAGATATCTGCTTCTTTCCTCAGGGCCTGAACAACCTCAGCACCAAATCAAGACAATCTCCTCCTCCATTACACAAGGAGCTAAGTTTCCTGAAGACTTCAGCCTCCATTCTGGGTGATATTTGGGAGCTCTGAGTCTTCCTGACCTAGACAACATTTCAGTACAATCTGGCTAAGAATACAAGGTGGTGTTTCTAACAGCCCAGGCAACTCTACTTCTTTCCCTATAATTTTTCTGCTTGTTACTGGAGATTATGGCTTAGACAACCTTAATGGGTTGGGAAGTGGGGCAAGGCAGGGCTTCAGGGTATCCCCATTGCTGCCTCACCACGACACTCCATGTGACAGAGGTTCAGGGTGGGTGTAATGCCATTGTCACACCACCAGGCGGAGTTCAGCTGAAAAATGCCATATTCACTGCTGCCGTCAGGATTGTGGTCCACGAAGGAGGTGTCAAAGCCACTTTCATAGTGTGCCACGCACAGCCCTGGGGCAGGGAGGGAAGAGGTAGCAGATAGGCATGGGGCCCTGGGGCAGGGAGGGAAGAGGTAGCAGATAGGCATGGGTCCTGGAAATAAAGGAGGGGAAGAGGAGGAGGGTGGGGACAGGGATGGTTATCATCTCAGTTGTGGGGGTGATGATCTTGGTTTGGTGGTAGTGTTGATGTTGGTGATTTTGGTGAGATGTCAGTGACGGCAGTGGTGATGGTATTCATGGTGATAATAGCAGTGATGACATTGATGGTAGTGATGATGTTGAAGGTAGAGATGAGGGCGATGGTTGTGAAAGCAATGATGGTGATGGCATTAGCTTAGTTAAATCATTCATCATTGTCAGGGGATGACCAAGAGGATCATGCCCTGGCCTGGGGAGGTGATAAATGACAAGGGGGGGCCTGGGTCTGAGTGTGGTGGGTGGCTCAGAGTGTGAGTAAGACATGGGGCAACTGGAGTCTCACAGTCTCCAATGCTGTAGCCAAGGAAGCCGTTGAGGCCCGCTTTCTCCAGCTTCATTGCCAGGTTGCAGCGTCCATAGATCTTGGTATCCACAGTGGCAACCATCAGCATGGTCAGGATCACGATCACTGTGCCCCAGGCTCGCATTATGACATCCACCACAAGCCCTACTAGCTGACTCCTTGCTCCAGACTCACCATGCACTGGGTATTCTGGAACTCTGGGCTCTATGAGCAAAGATCTAAGTGATAGATTCCGGAACATGGAAGCCGGAGGGCTGGGTACCTCAGCATATTCCTCAGTGCCATCTTTGTTACAGACACACATAAGGGAAAAAGAAAGATACTGACATATACACAGAGATGGAAGGAGACAAAAACAGGGAGAAACCGAGATGTCAGAAAGAGATGTAGAGAGAGGGGCTGTGGACATACAATGACAGATAGGACTCACACTTGGCCCACATTCTCCTACATTCTTTTTTTTTAATTATTTTATTTTGTTTAATTAATGTCTCATGTCATAATTTAAATAAAATAACAATTATCATGCCATAAACGAATTCCACAATAAAACACAATATTTACAGTAAAATCTGTAGTATTTATCATGAGGTAAGATCCCGTTAATATCAGTTCGGAGTCCTCTCCTACATTCTTTAACACTATCCCACTCTACTACTGTTAATCATGCTCTAGCACTTGGTTACCTCAATTTCCACTCACTCTGCCCCTCATCACCTCCATTCCCCCACTCTGTTAAGTAGTCAGCTCTGCTGACTATACTGTGCCTACAGCCACCTCAGATTCTTCATGCTTTGCAAAATATGACCACCACACCCTCACCCTCTGCCCCACCCCTTACTTCCATTTACTCATTCTCAGCACCTCCTTCACCTCTCTTCATTTACTGTGCCCTATTCCACCCTGATTTCCTGGAATCTGCCTCGTGTTACCCCCATTCAATTACACTCTGCCCCTTGTTACATGTTGTATGTTATATATTACATATATACACACTGTACTGCTTGTTCACCTCTGTTCTCATTCTACCTTTTATTCCCTATTCACTTACATCCACTCATATTCATTCACACTGGGCCTCCTATTACTGCAATTCCCTAACCCTCTACTTATCATTACCCAAAGTCTCTCACATCATATTTCTTCTTCACCTACATTCACTCTCACTCAGACTCATATGCTACTTTCACCTCTACTTCCTGACACTGCATCAGATAACGCCCATTCACCCTCACGTGGCCCATTCTTCAACTTTGTTCATTGATTCTGGACCTCATTCTCTCCCTTATTCTCTCTTTCTGCTCCTTCTTTATCTCTATTCTGTAATGCAGCCCCCATATTACCTCCATTTCCTGGACCTGTGCCCCATATTACTCCCAAACACTAGCTTGTTACCCAGATATACTCACTCTATGCTTGGTCACCTCCACTCTTTCTCAAATTTCTCATTACCTCCATTTACTCGCTCTTTGCCTCTCATTATCTCATTCATTTAAATGCACTCCTAATGTAATCCCCATTTCCACTGATCACTCCCATTCTGCTCCTGATTCATGTCTAATTGCTCCCACTCTGCCCCACAGTACCCCCATTCAGTCACACTCTGCCTCAAATTCACCACTTTTTGCTCACATTGGGCCCCATTTTCCCCACCTTCCTCATCTTGGGCCATGTAACTGGACCTTCATCCCCTCTCCTTCTGCCTCACAATACCCAGTTACTCACCTTCCTCTGCTCTTTATTTCCATCCTCTCTCACCCTGCCCAACATTACCTCCAATTATGTACATGCTTCAGCTCATCCACCTGGGCTGATTCACACTGGGATCCCTGTACATCCTTGGAACACTGCCCTGCATTATCCCTGTCTAATCCTAGCCTCCCCTCATTCACCTCTCATCACTCTCCTTCTCCCTCATAGTATTCCCACTCAAACTCGACCCAATTCAGGTATTCACATTCTACCATGTATTCATCTCCCTTCCCTCTTATTCCGTCCCTTGTGCACCCCATTCTTCCCCCTATGCTCCACATTACCTCCATTCCTTCCTACTTTTCCCCAAAACCCACCTGTTTACTAATACTGTGCTTCATAAACCATCATTCATTCACACTGTAATCCTTAGTACTCATATCAACTGTAATGCATTATCAACTTCATTCACATTCACCACCTTTCATTACCCCATTCACTTACAGTCTGCTCCCACTTTCACTCTGTCACTTAGACTGTATCTCATTTTCCTATCATTTACTCAGTCTCATCCATAATTTCAAATGAAGGCAAAACTTAAGGCATAGATACTCCCTCATTCTGTCCCACAATACTTACATTCACTCCACTCTACTGTTCATTCACCTCCATTCCATAGCCCATTGTCTCTCCAAATTCATTCCCAATTTGTCCTTCATCAGCCATTATTCATTTCCTCCTGCCCCAGTACCGTGTGTTTCCCGTTTACTGACACATCAGCCAAGACAGACAAGTCTGATGTGTTTTTCAGGATTTGGTTTGGCTGCACATACCAACACTACCACAAATACCAGTGGCTTCAAGGGGATGGAAGAAGATTCCTCTCCTGGACGCAGGTACTTCAGGGCGAGCATGGCAGCTCCAAGGTCACTAGAAAACTGGCTCCTTCTGTGCTGTTGATCTGCCAAACTCACCTGCTACCTCATTATCCAAAATGACTGCTCACAATTGGCAACACTTTCATAGTTTTGATAAAAATGTATCTTAAGAGCAATTGTTACCGATGACTTACCAGTGAGGTGGGGTGGGGTGGAGGGGCGTTTGGGTGGAAGCATCACACGTGCACTCTGTGGTGGCACAAGCTACCTGTTAGCTTTCCACACCACTTTACCTAGCTATCTGCTGCTTAGGCCACTGTATGAGGAGATCTCACCTGTAGGGACCAATGGTAGAGGATGCCCAGGACAAAGAGTGGGGATCCTAGCTCTGTAGCAGAAAAGCTGGCCTCACATAGCTATGAATGTGCACTGTGAACCCTGGGACAGTTTCTGAGGGGCTGTATCACTGACTCAGGAACATTTCTGGAACTGGCAATCACTGCACCCCAACACTCACCAACCCTAAAGGATTTCCCCCTCCACATAGGGGTGTGTGTGTGTGTGTGTGTGTGTGTGTGTGTGTGTGTGTGTGTACAAACTGGTGAGGAAATGATGTTTGCAGGCTGGAAGAGGCCAGACTGGGATGGGCCCTAAAGGTCCAGCCCCTCCTACTTTCCATTTCCTAATGCATTCAGAGGGCTGATAAGTTTTGTACCAAGGAGGGGCTGATCCTTCAGGGACCAAGAGATCTGAGTTACTCCCCTGCTTTCTCTCTTTGCTTTGTCTGCTCCATCTGTATTTCTGGTAAAAACATTCTTTGGCTATTGTAATGGTTCTGGAATGATGACCCTCAGATACCTTCTGGAAGTCCTGTGGGATATTAAATAAACAAGAACATTATTAGGTGGAAGTTAAGGGTATGACCTTGGGAACCTCTGTGACTTTGGGCAAGTTACATAGTCTCTCTAGGACTCAGTTCCCTCATCTGAGAAGTGGTGTGTGTGTGGGGAGGGCACAGGACTGTTCACAGATAGTGGGGACTATCTGAGGCAATTCATGTTATGTGTTTCACACAGTGCCTGGCACACAGGATATATTGAGCTAGGTCTGAGCCCCCATTATCACTTGCTGGGCCTGTTGGCAGGAACCTTGGTTTTCCTGGTTTTGCCCTTGCCCTCTGCAGTTTGGTCTCCACAAAGAAGCCTTCAGGTCATCTTTTTATTTTTTTCTCCTTAAAAAAGTTTTATACATACAGTCTAATTTTATTTAAATTATCATCATTGTCATCATTTATATAGCACTTGCTAGGTGGCACACATTGTTCTAAACCCTTTACAATAATCAACTCATTTGTCGCCACAACCCTAATGAGGTAGGCACTGTCATTACCCCCGTTTTATAGATGAGGAAACTAAGCAAAGAGAAGTTGAATCCTGCCATCAGTTACAGAGCTGGGGGAGGGAGGGTTGAAATCAGGCTGTCTCTATTATGTTCATTTGTTTGGTTTGTTGTTGTTGTTTGTTTTTGTTTCTGTTTTATTCCCTGCTGTATTCTCAATATCTAGAACACAACCTGCTGTACAGGAGGTGCTTAAGCAAATTCATGTGGAGCTTATGTTCTAGTAGTGCAAGACAGACAATAAACAAGTCAAATATATGTGTATTTTTAACATTAATATATAATGCTAGATCACTTCAGACTGGTCTTTTAAAAATCAGACCCCTCTTATGGCTTCCAATTATGTACAGAATGAAACGAGCTCTGTTCCTGGCAGAGGCGGCCCTACACCAGCTGGCCCCCAATCACCTGCCCCCTTGCCCGCACCTTCTACACTCCCAACACAATGACACTGTTCCTGTTCCTCCAACATGCCAAATTAGGTCCTCCTTCAGGGCCTTTGCAACATCCATGCCCTCCACCAGAAAGCTTTTTGCTTCAGATATTTGTGTGGCCAGCTCCTTTTGGTCTGTGTACCTGTCACCTCCAAAGAAAGGAGGTCATCCCTGCCTATCCAGAGGAAGCAACCTGTCCGCCACTACTTAACACATCCCCTTCACTCCAGGTGCGCGCGTGCGTGCGTGTGTGTTTTCTCCTAGGTCACCGTTTATTTATTCTTCAGCTTCCTGTTTGTCTGCATACCGTCCTTCAAACTGTCAACTCCCAGCCCTCGCCACTGGATGGAGCCAGCGACCTTTCCCTACTTCCTAGACTTTGTGCAGGCCATGCAATTCTTCCTTGCATCCTGTCTTCCAGTTCAATGACACCTGTAAACCCGATGCTGCCCTTCAACTTTAAGAAACCCATATGCTACCCGCTAGAACTTTCCTTAATTGGGCACTTACCCTCCCCGCAATAAGGAAATTGGTCTTGGAAGTCTTAGTAATGACGACCTCCTCAGAACAAAGTAAACACCTGCTCAACGCTTACGCCCTCCAGAGTAGGAGACGTGGTGAGCGCGGCCAACCCCTCGGAGCAGTGACATCACCGGCGCGGCCATCTTCCCTCCGCGCTTGCGCCTCAGCCCTGTCGCACTGGCTTCGGGGCCGGCAGGAGGAGGCGGCAAGTTGACTATTGGCGGACGCGGGCTCCAAACCACAACTGAGCGTGCGCACACCCGGCCCCTGCAACCCTGTGGGTTGCGGAGTCCGAGTTGGTCCCGAAGCGGAAGTGCTTCTCGGGGCCAGTTTTTGTAACGGTCTCCTCTGCAGCAAGCAGAAAATCTGTTAGAACTAGAGAGAGATAGAGATAGATGAGAGATAGAGATAGAAAGAGAGAGAGAGAGAGAGAGAGAAAGAGAGAGAGATTGGGGGGGGGCGAATGCTAGGGCTGTTGCGCGAGTGATGGGGAGTTCTGAGGCACGAGTGAAGGGGGTTTCTGGGGGTCATTGATGTGGCGTGTTGTGGGGTAAGTGATAGGGGACCGACAGGTCAGTGAAGGAGGGTTTTGAGGAAATGTAACCAGTAATCTCAATGGTGGGCAAAGTTATGGGGCTAGTCAGGGTTGAATGGAGCTTATTAAACGTTGACTTTTACACATTTTCCAGCACTGTGATCTTCGCTAAGGGTTCATAGCACCCCTCAGGCCCCTCCTTAGGCGTGCCCCATCTCTCCCTCTGCCCTTCTCCCCTTGCCCAAGCCCCGAGGTAGGGGCCTGGTGTGAATGCTCCAGCTGAAGTGAATCTGCACCTGAAAGCTTCCTTCCGGCTCCTAGGCAAGACGGCCCCAGTGAGGTGAGAAGATAGAAGAGGCACCTGAGAGGACTCACTTGCCTGAGGGCCTCACGCAGAGCTGAGGGCTTGGGAAGGGCGGGCGGGGCCGGGTGTTGCTGGGTCTGCAGGGATGGGCTTAAGGTCATGGAGGTAGTGTTTTAAAAGTTAAGTTTTCTTGGCATTTAACAGATAAGTAACACATTTGAATTCTAGATTAATTAGAAAATAGAGGAAAATAAATTAAAAGGAACTAATTTAATCCCCCTACATTTACATGTCCATTCTTAAGACATTTTTAGTGTGTATAAGGGGTATGCATTTTTAAACATTTAACATACAGTTTTCAAATGGGTTCCTGCAGTTTTATAACCTTGTTTTTCATTTAGAAGTTTACTGTGATTCAGCTTAAAAATTTATAAAGTTTTAAAAACTTAATTTAGATACATGTACAGAAAAGTACACAGATAGGTGAGCACGATGTAGTATATACAGTTGTCGAATTATGATGTTGCACACCTGAAACTTATATAATAAACCAATGTTACCTTAGTAAAAACAGAGGAGTACACAGATACATGTCGAGTTCTGTACAACATCATTTTTAATAGCTACATAGCATTTCATCTCTTGTATTCCTTGTTAATTCTGTATTATGGCTCATATAGGATTGCTCAAGTTTGGCATTGTTAAAGCCAATGCTAAAGTGAAGATACTTACAGAAAAATTATGATACATTATGATATATTATTTCATTAAGAAAAATACCTAGAAATACAATTGGGGTCAGTGCATAAGAATATCGAGAAAAAATCTTTTATATTAAATGTTCACATGAGGAAAAGAGTCAAGAATACACAGGTGGTTGTTAAAACCACATGGTTGCACAAACTTCCACAGAGCAGCCTCTTGCCTAGCTGGTGTGAGGGAATTTCTAGGCAGATAATTCTGGGCACTGGAAGCCTGATGGGGTCTCTCATACGCGCTACACTTCTCCACTCTTCCAGCTCAGACTTCACACATCTCTGCCTTTTCCCAAGAAGAGCAGGAAATGGCCGAACCCCAGGTAAGACTATTGTCTGTTCCTTGTTGTTTTACTGTGGATTTGTTGAGATATGTAGGAATCTCTGACATAAAATAGGAAATTATTTGTAAATAAGCATTAGGATCAGGGAAAATGAGAGAGAGCAGCAAGGCCACGTTAGAATGCAGACATGGGAAGACTTAGGGTGTAACAGATACTACTGATGAATTGCAAATTTCTCTTTGAGCCTCTGCCTGCCAGAAGGAAATGTAAACAGTAACCTGGCTCAACTTACACACCAGGAGAGAGCACACTAATTACTCAGGAAAGAAATGGTTTCCTGCAATTGCCTTTCAAGGAATTTCTTTGTTGGGTCCTCCTGTGGATGGTGGAATTGTCTTCAACAACAGCCTGGTGATAAATGCAGTCCCTGGTTTCCTGCAGATATTTCTTATAGCATTCCTCAGTTGGCTGGAGACCTAATGTTAAAATGTAATTTTGGAATGAAATGTCATAGGGCACTGCTTGTCTTTCAAATGATTTTCCTGAAAGTAATCTTCTCAGTTGAAATTTTGATTCTCATTTGGCAAAGAGACAAAGTCCTGCAGACACCCATAACACACCTCCTTTATCCTTTCATTTAATTTTTTTTTATTTTTTAAATTACTGTACAGTAAAATTGATGTTGTTTTCCAGTTCAATAAATGTTAATATATGTATAGATTGGTGTAACTAATCTATAGGATAGAAAATAGTTTCATCATGCAAAAAACTGCTACCCCTTTATAGACATGTATTCCCCCACCTGGAACCTCAGTCAACCACAGATCCGTTCTGTGTCACTATAGTTTTATCTTTTCAAGAATGTCATATAAATGGAATCATACAATATGTAACCTTTTTTAAAAAAATTAAAATTTCTTTTGAAACAATTGGTATGCAATTGTAAAAATAATACAGCAAGATCCTGTGTATCCTTTACCTAGTTTCCCCCAATGTTAACATCATGCAAAACTAGAGTACAATGTCACAACCAGGATATTGACATTGATATAGTGAAGACACAGTTCCATGACTGCAAGGATCCGTGATGTTGCCCTTTTATAGCCACATCCACCTCCTTTCCCCCATCCCCATTCTTAGACTACTAGCAATTACTGATCTGTTCCCCATTTCTAGAATTTTGACATTTCAAAAAGTGATGTAAATCGAATCATATAGCGTGTAACCTTTTGAGATTGGATTTTTTTCACTCAGTATAATTCCCTGGAGAGTCAGCTAAGTTGTGTGTCAGTACTTTCCTTTTTATTGCTGAGTGGTATTCTATGGTATAGATGTACCACAGTTTATTTATCCATTCTTCTGTTGAAAGACATTTGAATTATTTCCAGTTTTGGATTAAGAGTAGAGCTACTTTAAACATTCATAACAGGTTTTTGTGTGAACATATGTTTTCATTTCTCTAGAGTAAATATTGGATTGCTGGGTCATATGGTAAACATATGTTTAACTTTTAAAGACTCTTCCAAATTATTTTCCAGAGTGATTGAATCATTTTTCATTTCTACCAGCAATGTATAAGAATTCCAGCTGCTTCACATTTTTGCCAGTACTTGCTTTGTCAATATTTTTAATTTTAGTCATTCTAGTGGTATCTCATCATGGTTTTAATTTGTCTTTCTCTAATGGCTAATGATGTTGAATATCTTTATATATACTTACGTACTTTTTGTGTATCTCTTTGGTGAAGTCTTCTGCCCATTTTCAAATTGGATTGTTTGTTTTCTCAATATTCAGTTTTGAGAGTTTTTTATATTATATATTCTAGGTATAAGTCCTTTGTCAGATATGTAATTTGTAAATATTTTCTCCAAGTGTGTGGCTTGACTTTTCATTCTCTTAACAGTGTTGTTCACATAGCAAGAATTTTTAATTTTGTAAATTTTCAATTCATAAATTATTTCCTTTATGGATTGTGCTTTTGGTGTCATGTCTAAGAACTTTTTGCCAAACCCTAGATCATGAAGATTTTTTTTCTATTCTATGTTTTATAGTTTTTGTTTTTACATTTAGACCTATGATCCATTTTGCATTAATTTTTATATAAGGTGTGAGGATTAGGTCAAGGTTCATTATTTTGCATATGGAGTTCCATTTGTTCTCACCTCATTTGTTGAAAGGACCATTTTTCTCTTGAATTGCTTTTACAGTTTTGTCAAATATCAATTGGCCATATTTGTGGGGTCTATTTCTGGAATTTATTGTATTCTATTGATCTATGTATCTAACCCTTTGCCAGTACCACACTGTCTTCATTAATTGCAGCTTTATAGTAAGTCTTAAAATCAGGTAGTGTGATCTCTCCAACTTTATTCTACTTTTTCAAAATTGTTTGGCTATTCTTATTCCTTTGCCTTTATCTCTATATATAAATTTTAGATTAATGTTGTTATATATCTAAAAATTATCTTACTAGGATTTTGATAGGAATTGAGTTAAATCTATAGATCAGTTTGGGGAGAATTGATATCTTTATTATGTTGTGTATTACAATCCACGAACATGGCTCATCTCTCCATTTATTTAGCTCTTTTGTGATTTATTTCATCAATGTTTTGTACTTTCAACATACAGATCCTATACATGTATATTAGTCTGCTTGGGCTGCCATATCAAACAATACAGACTGAGTCATTTAAACAACAGAAATTTATTTTTTTGTGTAAACAAATTTATTTTCCTAATCCCAGATCAAGATGCCATCAGAATTTGTTTCTGGTCAGATCTCTCTTCCTGGCTTGTTCACAACAGCCTTCTTGAGATGTCCTCACATGGCCATTCTTCTGTCCTTGTGGAGACAGAGAAAGGGAGCTCTGGTGATTTTTCCTCTTCTTATAAGGACACCAGTCCTATAAGATTAGGGCCCCACTCTAATGACCTGATTTAACCTTAATTACCTCCTTAAAGTTCCTTTCTTCAAATAAATTCACATTGAGAGTTAAAGTTTCAACATTAGAATTTTGGGGGAGGGGAAACAATTCAGTTCATACAACATGTTTTGTTAGACCTATACATGTTTCATTTGTTTCATTTTTTAAGTTATTGTAAATGGTTTTGTTTTTAAATTTTTGGTTTTTAATATTCATTGCCAGTATATAGAAATGTGATTGATTTTTGTTTGTTGAACTTTGCTATGGTCTGAATGCTTGTGTTCCCCCAAAATTCACATGTTGGAATCCTAATGCCCAAGGTCATGGTGTTAGAAGGTGGATCTTCCTCTTGTACTTTATTTATTTACTTATTTATATCAGTAATACAAAATTTTTATATTTATAGATTTTTAAAATTTTATTCAGTGGATTATAATCCATACTGTCATTGTTTATTTTGATGCCCAGTTATCCCCAAGTTGGCCAGTGGGAGCCCTTTTAAGTTGGCTTTTGTTTCCCTTTGACATATCCCTATAATTTTTGGAGCACTTCCTTACTATTTAATGCAATAAGATATTCCAGCCCTCATCTTTTAGTTTCTCTGACCCAGGCCTAGAATCAGCCATTTCTCCATGGAGCACTGGTTCTTATTAGTGGATAATGATATATAGAAACCAAAATCTGTGTGTTAGGTGTTCTCATCACTTCTGGGGTGTCATTTCTTTTAGGCCCTTTCAGTGATCACAGCTTGGTGTTTGTGTGTGTGTGTGTGAATGATGCCCAAAAAATGTACAGACATTTTAAGAAATCAAAACTATTAAAGTTGTAATACTCAATATATACCAATAACAAAAGATGAATACAAGTAACGTTTGACTTCTGCAATTACAAAAGGCGCTCAAAGTGGTTACCATCAGTGTCCAGACACTTCTGATTATGGCAAACTACTGCTTGAGCAACGTTGACCAAAGTCCACTTGCATATATTTTTTGGCACCCTCTGTGTGTGTGTGTATGTGTGTGTGTATATGTGTACACAAACACACATACACATACATACATACACCCGGGGTGCCAAAAAATGCATACACATAACTTGTATTCATCTTTTGTTATTGGTATATATTCAGCATTACAATTCTAATAGTTTTTTTCCTTTCTTAAAATTTGTATACATTTTTGGCGCTATCTCTACACACACACACACACACACACACACATACACAACCTGACAATTAAGTTTGCAAACTTGTTGCAACAAAGTTGCTAACCTTTTTTGATATCAGAGGGATTATTCATTATGAATTTGTACCAACTGGACAAACAGTTAACCAAGCTTACTATTTGGAAGTGCTGAAAAGGCTACCTGAAAAAGTTAGATGACCTGAACTTTTCGCCAACAATTCATGGCTCTTGCATCACTACCATGCACCAGCTCACATGGCACTGTCTGTGAGGGAGTTTTTAGCCAGTAAAGAAATAACTGTATTGGAACACTCTCCCTACTCACCTGGCCTGGCCCTCAGTGACTTCTTTCTTTACCCAAAGATAAAGAAAATACTGAAAGGAAGACATTTTGAAGACATTCAGGATATCAAGTGTAATACGATGACAGCTCTGATGGCCATTGCAGAAAGAGTTCCAAAATTGCTTTGAAAGGTGGACTAGGCACTGGCGTTGGTGCATAGCTTTCCAAGGGGAATACTTTGAAGGTGATGGTAGTGATATTCAGCAATGAAGTATGTAGCACTTCTTTTAGGACGAGTTCGCGAATGTAATTGTCAGACCTCATATTCTGGTATCTGATAGGGCAACTTCCTCCCTGACGGTTTTTCTTTTCTAGTGTTTTTCTAGCTATTCTTGCACATTTATTTTTTGGTATGATTTTTAGTATATTACCTTGTTAGTACCATTAAAGAACTTGCTTTTTATATTAGGATCACATTAATTTACAAATTAACTTAGGGATAACTGCATCTTTGTGACTTTGTGTCATTCTAACTGTGAAGAGTTTGACAACTGAAGTTAGGGAGAACAGTCCCCATAAGAGATCACCCTCACTTCTGACACTAATTACAAGCTTGGGGGTCCCCAACATCACCCTTAGGTTTGA